TCACAACACATGATTTTTTGTTTATAATAATTGATAACACAATAAGGCTCACGTCTCACATTTTTATTAATAGTCACATATTATTTTCAAATGGTCACAGCACAAGTCACAAAATATATTGCACATGGCTCACGATTTTGTTCATAGTCCCATTTTATTTTCAAATTACTCAGATTCTTATTGATAGTCACAAGTTTATTTCAAATGGCCACAGCACAGGTCACAAAATAATTTTTTTGGGCATGGCTTAGGTTTTTATTGATAGTCACAGCATCGGTCACAGTATATGGCTCGGGTCACAGCATTGGTCGCAGCACAGCCACCACAGCAAAAACCGCAACAAAACATGCCGACTGATCACCACAAAACCCACTGCACAACGCCACAAGCCATCATAGAAACATCCACACAAAACCACCGCCAACCGCACGCACAACCACCAACCACATTCCACAACCACCACAAAACACACTGCACAACGCCGCAAACCACCATATAAACATCCACACACCACCACATCCCGCAACCCCACTCCACTCCACGCGGTGCCACCACCAACTAACACCAATGGCGCCTCCACCACCACCCACCACAAAACACCGTCCACACCGCCGTTTACAAAAAATTTACACTGGCAATAAAAATCTGTGATCAACCTTGTAGTGGGAAGTCAAGAGCTGCTGCCTGCCTAGCTGAAGCTCTTCAAGAATCTGAAACGAAGCCATCAGTTAGAATTATCAATGAATTTCAGAATTTCAGATTTGGGGTTAACTGTTAAGGGCTTCACCTATGCTGCCGAGTGCCGATTGTCGAAGAATCGTCGGTTCCCAGCGGTCGTGGACTCCCCGTCTAGGGTACGAACTATCGAACAGGGACGGAGGCTTAAGCGAGCAGGAACAGCAACTGGTTCAGCCGTTCTTCTTGAAGGAGTGGGTAATGGGTATTTCAAACGTGAGGAAGAGAAGAGCATCCGGATTCGGGACCGGGAGGCGGAGGCGATGAATTGAAATTGGAATTTCTGGCCGTCCCAGTTTGGAATGAAATGGATTGGGCATTTGGGCTGTGCCTAATTGCTTTGGCTGGGTATTGGGTTGGGCATTCGTTTTTTAAAGAGAAACGGTCGGCGACGGGCTGGCAAATGGACAGAGAGAGAGGAAGAGAGTGAATTTTTGAAATTAATTAGGGATTGAAGTATGAATTAATTTTTGAAATATTATTAATATTAATTAAATATAAAAAACCTGTATGTGTATAAAAAATATCTGATTTTTGAAACTTAAACCTTCAAATCTGATTTTAGAAATTGGATCTCCAAAAGTAGGGCTCCATGTAATTTCCACTTTTGGAAATCACGCCCAACCAGATTTTTTATGTTTCAACTTCAAAATTCAGATTTAAAGTTTTGTTTTTAATACAAAAATCATATGACAATATAATTTTTAAATATTAATAATACTATTATAAAATCAAATAAATTTACAAACCTACCACCCACCAAAACACTCGCCCACCGAAACTTTCTGCACTCTCCGTTCTACGGTGCAGCGCCGCGCACCACCACCATGCAAAGAGGATTGTGACCGCCGCTCGTGGGGGAAATGCTCGTGGCATCGCTCTACTGTGACGGGATGCAGCGTCACTCGATTGGTCATTTGACTTCATTATCTAATTGTTGGAGTAGGAGGCAAGGTGCATGACAAAAGCTAGGCGACTTGGGGTTCCCACTCCGGTGCTTTATGCTGTTGATCCTTTGTTGTATATCTTAACATTTGAATATGTCGACGGTCCCTTGGTGAAAGATGTATTCCTTGAATTTGGATTACACAGGTACTCATTGACTTTGGTCTAAGCTTTACATCAACCTTTCCAGAAGACAAAGCAGTTGATTTATATGTACTTGAACGAGCTTTGCTCTCTATGCATTCTTCATGTGGAAATGTGGTGAGCATCCTTGTCTATCATAAATTTTTCAAGATGCCACACTTTATTGTTGAGAAGACATAAGAAAGCAAAGAATGAGTCGATGCAATTATTTCCTCTCGTTGGGGGTCAAAGATAATTAGACCCTCGTATTATTCTTTTGCCACTGATTTCTCATTTAGTACTGAATATATGGCCTACATTGGATAAGAGCTGTGGAAGATCAAGTGAACTTGCTTTCCACACTCTCTTTTTTTGGGGGCTTCGGATGGCTGGTTTGATAGGATCATGTTTGCAAATCAAAGAATTATAGAATCAAGTTGTACAAGACAACTGCAGAACTGGTATGTCAGCATTTTATCAACAGATGGGAGTATCTCTTTGCAATGAACTGTAGTTTTTAGCGAATTGTCAACCCGTACATGTGGTTCTGTACAGATTCATAAATCATCAATTGCTTGAGTTTATTTCTTGATTTAAAAAAGAACTTGAATTCAAATTGATCATTTTGTAATTATTGCTTGGATAAAATACTTGCTGCATACAGGAAGTCCTCAAGGCAGTGGTCATCTGTCAAATATACTCAATAAGACTTGATGTCTCTCAATATGACATGTTCTCTTATTAAATAGAACCAAAATCATAACTAAATATGGTAAAAACAATCTATCTATATATGGTACAATTATAATTGTAATATAAACGTAACTATAATTTTCGACAATCTCCGTAATCTTAATCAATCTCATCGACATTCCCCTTCAAATTGATGCTAATAAAAGCATCAATTTGCAATCATGAACCGACAACGGTAACAATGCTCGTGCCCACGAAGAAGAGACTCAAATCACAGCAGTCATCTATGAAAAATAGTGACGAGGAGAGATCAATAATCAACAAATAGTGTAGAAACAGTCAAGAACCACTCCAAGAATACTCTAAAGCCACTACAGAGAGCTCACACACAAGGAAGAATTTCTAAAAGAAATTCACAAAGTGTGCTGACCACACACAGAGCTCTATCAGTCAGGAGAACTTAATTGAACACATAATTCGAGTTTCAACAAAAGCTCTAACGGCTAATGTATCGGCCAAAAATTCAATAATATATCGCTGGCCAAGATGCTGTAGTTGGAAGAATTCCCACAATACAGCCTTCACCGAAAACCCAAAAATGCTCCTATCCAAAACCACCCAAGGATGATCCTCCTCTGAAAATCCAAAACTTTAGCTCATCACTTCAGCAACCAAAACTCAATGATCTGCTATCTCATGTCTCTCTCCTTTACATTCTCATGCTCACCATTATTCTGTCATTATACTCAAGAAGCACTATAGAAGGGGGATGGGGCACAAAAAAATGTTAATATCTCTGTCCAAACTTTATCAGCCTACAAAAAAAAAAGGGATCGCGTGCCCAAACAAGCTTCAACCCAAAATCAGCCTACTAACGATTTCCACACAAAACTTACTCAAATCAGCCCACTTATCCAGAAGTCCATTAACACCATATAAACATAGGGAAAAATTCATAAATAAAATGTTTAGTTTACACCAATTCAAAAATCATGTTTATAGTTTGAAAATTCAAAAATCGGATTTTTTTTAATTCTAATATAATATAATATAATAAACCCACCCCACATGCACCACCTATACCGCTCCGAGGACCATTCCGACCACCACTCTTTTCCGGCGACTACTCTTCTTCGGCGACTGCTCCGAATCCGACGACTATTCCGACGACCATTCTGGCGACTGTTTCGGCAATCATTTCGGTCACAGATTTATAATTTAATTGGTCACATATTATTTTTCACGTCACA